AAACAGCGAAGAAAGTCACGCAGCCTTCGAGGAGTTAATAATAAGTGGCTATATGGCCGGTAACCGGTCAAGGTGTTAAAAACACTAAACTAGGTATACCTATCGATAGAGTGCCAACGAGCAAATCATGCGTATTTTGCTTAGGAATAAAATTTTTCCCATTTGATCGTTTCTTGGTCCCTTCCGGTTGCAAGGATTATTTTCTTGAAACGTTCTCAGATTCAGTCTGGTGGCTTTACAAACCTGTTATGTAAAAGTGTGAAGTGCCTTGAAAGAATAAAGTCAGCTTTGCAGAGGAAGCGATCGGGAATATTATTAAGTCCAGCTACAAATCTACTGTCGGTTCGGTTTCACATTATTGATAAATATTTGCACAGTTTAATCATTTAAACCTCCTTTTAAATTTCCCGAGGCTTTTTGTTATCGGATTGAAACTTAGAATGATTCGCTGGGCCATCTGAAATGTTTCCAAGGACATGCGATGTAGGCCGTCGATAAAACCCGGAACACGGAACATTCCGGAACATGAAAAAATAAAAATAATTTTCACGAAAAAAAAAATATAATAACATAATAATAATAACATAATTTTTGTAAAAATTAATAAGAATGTAGAATAACAAAAAAAAAACGAAAAAGAATGAAATAATCAAGAAAAAGAAACTGGTATCCTCTCTGAGTATGAGAAAACAATATTTTGTCGCAACAAATTAAAATTTGTTGGGTGAGGGTTCATGCAATTGACAGTAATGAGTGAAGGCTTGCTTCTTCTTCTTCTTCTTCTTTGCGGGGAGACGACTAAAAAAAAGGTTGACTGATAACAGTTAGGAACTACCGCTGCGCTACCACTGCCACTGCAACTATTCACGGCGAATGTGAATCTTTAATGTAATTATCCAAGTCCAAAGCGACGAGCCCCTAAGCTCTTCTTACGGTCGCAAAGCCGTAAATTGATAACCGTTAAACGGCATGGCAAACATTTACAAGAGGTGGCTGTGTCAGGAAAGCTTGAAAACCCCCTCCTCGCGACCCATTTTAATATATTTTGAATTTAGAAGCAAGCGTTTACTCATTACTGTCATTTGAATGGACCCTCACTGGCCCAAAAAATTCATTGCGACAAAATATTGTTTTCTCATACTCGGAGATGATACCAGTTTCTTTTTCTTTCTTTCTTTCTTTCTTTCTTTGTTTCATTATTTTTCGTTTTTATGTTATGTTATGTTATTTATTTTGTTATTATAAATTTTTGCAAAAATTGTTTTCTATCTATTGTTCTTTTTATTATTTATTATTATTATTATTATTATTATTACTATTCTTATTATTTATTTAATTAATTAATTTTTTTTTAAAAAAAATATTTTCATTTTTTCATGTTCCGGGATGTTCCGGAATGTTCCGGAATGTTCCATGTTCCGGGTTTTATCGACGCCCTGCGATGTACGGCACGTGTCGGTATTTAATTTTATACTGAACTCGGCGGCCGTCGATAAAACCCGGAACATTCCGGAACATTGACTACCAGACTTATTTGCTTAGATTAACAACGTCTTACTCCATAATATGTTGTCCAAACTGGTGAAGGAGGACGAGAATTTTCCGCCCAGGAAAAAAGCAAAGTCTGGGCCCCGCTATGCAGCTGAATAGAAGATACAGCTGAAGATATCGTAAAGCAAAATTTATGTGCGCGATATCTTTTATTATTATTATTATTCTCAAAACTCAGGGGCACCCAACGATGACTTCCCCCTAAATGCATTGAAAACACAATTAAGGCTGTCCAGAGTACTTTTGATCGAAAAATGCATTCTAAAGAGCGCTTACATAAATTTAGTCAGGAGGATCATAAGCAGGTATAGGAGGCATAGCTAGGAAGAGGACAGAAGTGGCAACAAGGCCGGGCCAGAAGGGCTCTTCTACGATTTCAAAATACTCAGTATTAGTTGTTGTTATCTTAGCTCAGGCGTTTCATATAACACACCAATTTTTTTTTAAAAGTTTCTCGCAAGCGTGACTAGAGGAGGAAAAAAAAGTAATAAGGGCCCAACAAAGTTCTATTATTTTGATTTACCTGGCAGAGCTATTTCTACTAAGAAATGAAATAATTATGACAATAAGAAACAAAATCTGTACCTCACCTTCCTCCATTGTTGCTCCTCGGTCCCCTCGTGGCTGTGAGAAAATAACCCATTCAAACCTTTTATAACAGCCGTGGCCAGGTGACTTTTTTGGTGCGAAAATACCTTCGCAGGCTCCTGACCTTCGACTTTGCTAGAGGGAGGGGCAGGGGGGTTGACGTCGTTGTTTTAAGCACTTTTTGGAATACACATATTTTTCGAGATTGGTAAAGGTCATTATTGGAATATTACAACCACTTTTATGTTTTTCTATCATAAGGATTTATAAATTTATTTTTTTAACCTCTTGGATTTTTATCCCGTTACTCGTTTTCTCGTTACTCCGTTACTCGTTACTTGGTACTGCGTTACTCTGTTTAGTAACAACCCCGCTTAAGTTGAATTTGTGACACACAATCAAACGTCGCTACTCTGTTGCTTTACCTGTTATCACTGACATTCTGTGGAGCAGCTGTTTTGAAAGTTATGAACCAAAAGACCCTCGTTAAGCGCATATGAAGTTAATATATAGATTTAGCCAGGGCTAAAAGCGAAGCTCCCATTAATAAATTTATAATTTAAATCAAACAATAAACTTGTAATCCACAAATCAGTCAACTTAGGGCACATATGTGACTTTTTAGGGAAAGCTAAGGCTAAGTGATTTTAGAGTGAAAAAAAAAATCTTACATCGAATTGATAGCCGTATATATACACCCAAAAAATAGCAATCATCTTCGATCACATTTAAGAGCCATAATGGCTCTTGATCACAGTAGATTAGGCCTGGAAAACGAATTCTTGGAAAACAAATCAGGCCGAATTTTTGCGTTCGACAAGTTTACTCAACAAAATCTTGCCAACAACTCTGGGTGCGTGTAAACCAACATTTCATACTTTTTATGCATCACATCTGAGGTGAAACAGTAATATGAGGCGCTGTTTTTCTCATACAGGCCTCGGACAAAATGCAGTATTTCACAACTTTTCAAGACAAATTGCATCCATTCAATATTCAGAAGCACGCATGGGATTTTAGCAAAACCGTTCAAAAAATTTCTAAAATCAACTATACGGCCAGCCGGTTCTCACTTTTGACAAGCGTCAAATTTTCAGTGAACATTAAAAGAGTTACGCTTCAACATAATAAAGAATTTACTGTGTTTATCTTTTTTATTTAATGGTTTTATAACGATGTGTAATCTTAAAAAGCGTTTGATACGCGGGGGCTTTTTGAGTACTCCTGCAAGCGATGTTTATGAACAAAAAAATTAACGCATGCGTACTATGGGTTCGCGTCTTATGTAAGACGCGAAGGTCATTTGAGAGGTTTTTCTCGTCTTAGCTAAGACGCGTCTTATCTAAGAACAGGTGTTAAGGGCTGTTCTAAAATAAGACGCGTCTTGGCTAAGCCGCGTCTTATTTTTTAGACGAAATGTGCCGTTTATACGGAAAGTTCGCGTCTTATTTAAGACGCGTCCTATGTAAGACGCGTCTTATTTTTCCTCGTATAAATGGCCCTATTGTCTCAGATCTTAATACAAACGTAAACGTGCATAAACTAGCCTCATAACCTGCACTCGACCTCATGAAATAAGATATATATATAAAAAAACAAACACATACACCTTATACAATAATTACTCAGGCTTACCATTCGAGATGCAGTACTAGGCCCTGAAAGATATCAGCTATTGAGGGACTTTTCAACCCGCATCCAGGAAGGTGTAAAACGAAAACGATGTCATCCGAAACCGGATTTCCAACTTTGACATGCGGCGCATTTCTCAACCAAAAATTCAATAAACAAACCAGCCATGAATAACAGATATGCATCCATATGCATCCAGTGGAAAAAGACAGTAAAACACATCACAAGTTGACAAAAAACTCTGTCAGCTTCAGCTGTCAAAGTAAACAAGTTTCAAGATGCTGTATGAATTTTCTGCATGAACTCACCTGTCAAATTTTGACCAATCAGAGCATAAAAATTGGACGGTCGTAGAGCGTGATCAACGCGTGACTATGGTAAGAAAACTGAAAAGTCTCTGTCTTCCCTGCTTGTATTTTTAAATGACTGGCTGAACTTTCGAGTCCGAAATCAATTTGAAATCAAAATGTTAATAGCGCGGGGCCATAGTGACATTAACACAACACTTTCTGTTATCACGTCATTATTTTGCTGCCGTTCTCTTTGCCTTTGTATTTCTCTTTCGCGTTGTCTTTGTCTATTCATTCTAACTGTCTCGTTCTGCTTGCCGGCGTTTTTCACTATAATTTTCTCTCCTTCTTCTCCCCCTGACTCTTTCTACTTGCCGACTTTCGTCGCTAAAATTTTGTCTTCTTCTTCTACTACTAACGCACTCTCTTTGGCGATCGTCTTCGCTTGCTCGACGCGTGTTGACTCTTGCTCTCTGTCGTTCACCTTCTCTTTGCTCTCTGCTTAAAACCTGTCGTCTACACGCTAAAATCTCTCTGCTTTTGTTCGGTTGACATAACGGCTTTCGTAAGTTGAAATAAAAAGTTATAAAGGCTCTGTCGAAAAATCTTTTTGCTAAGTTGCTTTGAAATTTCGTTTTTCAAAACCAGTTGCGCGATATAATTGCGCGACGTTCAACGCGCTATGCGATTTCCCGCCAAAAAATCTCTACTTTCCCCTACCCCAAGAATCCATGCGGACTACTTTGCACTACCCGGAAAGTCCGTACGGACGGACGTACGCTGACGTCATAACCAAAATTTCTCGGAAGGATAGTTTACCAAATTATCTTAGTTATGGTGCTCCGCTCGCGCGCGCTTCGCGCGCGCAAGGAGTTTCGCTATAAGGTGTGAAAGAAGGGACCAGGTGTGCACTAAGTGTGTACATACATGAAGGTTCCTTCAACGATTTGCAAAGATGGCGGAACTCGTGCGTTCTGAACAGGAACAAGAAGTGAGTTAATCTTATGCAGGCCAATACCCTGTAATCCCTTCTTATTATTTCATTCTAAAACAAAATGTCTTGCTTTTTTCGTCGTCTATCACAGGCAATCGCCATTTTCTTGCGAGAAGTTAACAAAGATCGTTCCGAAAATGGATTGAGTCCCGTAGGAACTTCCACAGCCTTGTTGTTTCTCACGGCCCGTAAATTTGACACTGAAAGAGCGGTTAACTTGTATCGACAGTACCAGGTGAGTTTGAAAAAAAAAGCTGCGACGTGATATTATTTTATTGAGTTTAACAAAAAGGGTTTTCCCGCCTTGGAACTTAAAAACGCGCATCGTAGCATCAATGTAAGTCTTATGTTGTTTGCTGCAAAGAGTTTTTGACAACCGTCGTAAATCCTGCCCAATTGATCTATTCAGTTCTGTAGTCTCTGTTGCATTTAGTTTTAATTTACTTAGCAAAGCTATAGATGCAACAGCGAATTTTAACCACGAGTTTAGGCTGAATTCACCCGTGGAAATCATGGAAAAAAGAACAAAATTAATTTTAATAATTTTTTCCTGGGTACGACCTGTGAAATCACTTATTCTAGCGACTTCGAAATGCTTTGATCAATGCTCTTAAAGCTCTGATAATCGCCTTTTCTTATACTGGACTAGTACGAATTTAGAAAAGGAAAGAAACACAAAGTATTTCTCATCTGTTATTTAATATTGAGTATTCTTTATGGTCAAATATGTGTGTCATGGAGAAAAGAAGTGTGAAATCACAAAAGTTTGATGTAATGAATCTTTGGGATTGGTTGAAATACTCCGAAAGGGCAAGATGAAAATGCCTGCTTGCCAAAAATCAGAGTCTTTGTGGAAATTGGTGGTGAGATATTGGCACTGCTATGCTCTCCTAAACCTGTACAAATCCCACTACCAATGGCTTGGATCATAGCATTCATGATCCTTGTCAAATTTAGGAGGATCTGTATGGAGCCCTCAGAGCAAAACATTGTTTATACATCACTTTCAATGTCCACTAAGTCTCTGATTTTTAAATGATAGCTCAACAACATTGATTGTCCTGCTGCCAATGTATGGTTCTTCAAAATGTAGAGGATAGAGCACTGCAACACCAATGCAGAGGCCATGGATTCAAATCCCATTGAAGCCCGGGGGGCGGGTACTCCCATACATTACCTATATGGGTATGTGCCGTCCGACAGGTCGTGATTTTGAAGCTCCTGATTTAGAATGGGGTATTGATTAAAGAGGCGTTTTCTAGAACGTAGTATAATTTTTCGAATGCATAAAAGCTCCAGTTTTGTAAGCAGCCATTTATTATTCAAGGACAGATTGCTTTTAAAAATACAGTTCAATGGGTTCACAAGCAAACTGTTGTGCTCTTGTTGCACCCTGTGTTTTAGCATGCAGGGCGGGCGTATTTTGGCGCTAGCCGCGAGCGCTGACTCTGCCATCTTGGATAAATAGGCGCGCAGTAGTCTGGAACAAGTCCATAATGTACCCGAGGGAGATGGAGACGGGCTCAAAAGAAAGGGATGGGGGAGGAGAAGGAAAATCATTAGCTTACGAACATGGTTCTGTGCATGATGAGAGATTTTGCGTAATAATTAACAGCATTGTATCCACGTGTACAGGAAATGTACTCCGGATGATTATGAAGAAGCGTTTATTTCATGTATAAGTCAAACAAATAAAGAAATATCTTTTTTAAAAAACAGGGCTATTTCAATTTATAAACCTTTCTAGAATGGAGTATAAAAAATTGGCCCATTTCTAGATTGGGGTATCAGTTTTAGGGTGAATTCTAGAATGGGGTATAAAAAATTGGCCCATTGCTAGAATGGGGTATCAAATTTGGAGTCCTGGGCAGCACATACCCACCCAAAAAATACCCAAGTGCCCCCCCCTGCGGGCATTGAAGCCCTGAAATTTCTTTGGGCTTAGAGGGACACAGTTACACTTGGGACCATGCTGACCTGGACATTAGGCTAACCACTTTTGAAAAGCATTTAAGAGGACCTTAAATCAAAGGTACATGTAAAATTCCACTTTAATTTTGCCTAGTGTTTCATTGGAACTTTGATCTTTTAGTGAAAATCTTTTCTTCTTTTACTCATCCTATAGTATTATTTTATCACATTTTGCCACTTGTACATCTCCAAAAATGCAACTTTTTTGTCCCCCCAAATTTTGTATAAGCAATGTTTCCATTTTCTCTTGGGAAGGCTGTAATACTCAAGAGAAATGAAAAACAAAGGTTATGCAAAGTTTGGAGGGGCAAATAAGGTGTATTATGGGAGATGTGCAAGTGGCAAATTGTATGTGTAATCAAATGGTGACGAGTGAAATTAGGGAATAATTTCACTGGTCACCATTTGATTAGGTTAAAAACAGTATGGATGGCATATCTTGTGATATGCAAATCAGCTAAGAAATGGTTTCTAATGTCTATGTGCATCAGCTGACTGTGTCCCTTTTAATTTGTCATTACTTGATTCATTTCCCCTTGGACCCAATAAATATCAATGTCTAGAGATCAAAGTGAAAAAAAAATTCTCAAAAATTTGCCTTACTTCCAATTGCTACCAAATTAGGTGCACAGGAAGTGGACTATTCAAGCCATACACCTTAGTACCTGAGCTTTATTGTGACTGGTCACTAGATACAATCAACTTTCCTTCAGAAAATTTCCAGGTGTTCACAGTTTTCTTAATTTGACAGTAAATTTCCCAGATAGTGTCAATTTTCTCAATAGAAAAGAAAGCCCTCTATTTTTCAGTCTTTGCAAAAGCAAAGGTAAAAAAACAACTTCCATCGATTTTATTTGTTAAAACTATGAAGTGGAATTGTGTGTGAGTGGAGTACTGAAGACTTTCCATGTGATTGGTCGCAGCAAAAGTTAGTAGTACCCTGTTCCATTTCTTGTCTCCAGTACTGACTCTGCAACTAAAGTTTTTTGTGATTTCTTTTTCAGTATGAACGCCGTTTGTATTTTTTACAAGAAATTGCTCCTTATGATGAGCCTCTGAGATCTGAATTACTTAGTGGAAAGTTTACAATTTTGGTGAGTGGCAGTATTTCATCAATGAGTTTGCTTATACAGTAGAACCCCAGTAACTCAAACTCTGAAATAATAATAAATAATAATAAATGTTATTTAGCCAGGGTTATCTCTTCAGCATAAAATGCTGCTATCAATGAGGGCCCTGGAAAAAATAAATAAATAAATAAAATAAAAAAATATATATATATCTATATAAAACTAGCCTAAATTACAGTAACTAAAAATACACTAAAAGTTAAAAATACAACAAGATTAAAAAATTGTTTAAAAAAACTAAAATACAGCAATTAAAATGCATTTAAAAGCTAAACTAATACAAAAACTTAACAAGTAACTAAAAAACTTTTGATCTATATAATTCCAAAATGCGAGTTTTAAAAATCACAAAAACAGTTCAAGGTAGCAGGGGTTTCAGTCATCGGTATTGATTGAATTTTCAGTTCGCCACTTAAATATTTAACACTGACAAGAGGGGTCACCAAGACCTGATTTTTTTCGTTATATTTAACTTAACACTTATATGTCATTTGTCGGATCAGGAAGCCTTCTTTGTCAGGTCATTGAGCCGAGACCCATCTCTTATCTGGAACACTGTTAAAATTTCTTAACCTAGATTGATTCTCTGTTTCCTTTGTCTCATAATTAGGGTTAGGAGACAAAGGAGATAAAACATCAACTTAGCGTAAAAAATTTTAATCTGAATATATTTTGATATGTAACATTTAAGTTTAACTACCTTTACCGTCTCCCAGGGAAAGAAGGAGAGATTTTTATAGACTTTAGTCATTGTCTATTCTTGGCTAGGGTTATATCTTTAGTTGCAAATACAAAAGTTCAAAGCCATCTATTGTAGAATATATTTAATATCAAGTTACAGACAACTTTATAATAATGAAAAACAAATTTCAATTATTAAAGGAATGGAAAAATGTTTTGAAGAAAAGTGGAAAAAATTATTCAGAAAAGACATTTATTTGGGTGAACTCTCCTTTTTTCCCCTGTTTTTTTTTTTTTTTTTTTTTTAAATCTAATATGAACAGATCCAAAAGACAAAAGAAAAAAGTTATTCTACGCAATATCCTGTCTGGCAACCTTACTATCAATTTGTTAATTAATTTTGCTTTTTTTGTATTAAGTAAAGGGGTTTCAATAAAAGTTGAAGTAGCCAGCAGGTTTGAATAGAGTAACTGACTGTATCAACAAGGCGCTGTTGGTCCCCTTTTTTGTAGGGGGGAGGGAGAGGGTCTGGGCGTGTTCTGCCTCAGAAAATTTTGAAATTTCAAAGCCCTAAAATGCAAGTTTCAGTAATCTGGGGACTAAAGTTCAGGACAAAAGAGCGTGTTTTTCATTCAAGAAAATGTAGCTTTCAATTTATCAGTCACACAATCAATTCCTATGAGCAATGAACAAAATGATGAAAACTAAATTACGTACTTTTGCACGTAAACAAATTCTGTGTAAACCTTTAAAGAAACCTATCAAAAAAATGAATGAAATGTAGCATTCACATCACCAAAGCCTAACGTAAAACCAGTGGGCCTTTATGAAAACTTATCATTGATAGGTTTTTGTTTGCAACGTTATTCAAACTAGTTGCTTCTTCTTTCTAGAAAAAAAGTAGCCAACCTCATGAGCAAAGTAGCCAATGCGTTTCATGGGGTGCTTATTGAAACCCCTGATTGTGTTTCTTCAGTATTTAAGTGTCTATGTTTAATATGTATTATGTGTGTAAGAAGCAAATAAATGAAATTTTAAAAAAAGCAAAATCTCCCATCACACATTATGGGTTACAGTCCTAAATGACAGCCCTGACCAGTAATTTGTTACTATTTTAAAAAAATGGTGATCCTTAGTAATAAAATTATTATGGATATGGATTCCATTGATTGCTTTAATAGAATGCACGTGATGCAGGGGGTGCAGCTGTAGCAGTTTTTACAGCTAGAGAACACTTTCCTGCTACAACAACTCACAGGACCGTCATCCAGGGGATAGCATTTCAGCTAGATGAGTGCCTGAAAAGGTGTGTCATGTGGTTAAATAAGAAGCATAACGCTCTTTCATTCCTACTAGATGCCAAAGTGAAATTCACAAAAAAATTCATCATTGTCCACGAGTCCCAAATTGGAAAATGGAGCCATATGCTCTCTCCTTTCAGGTTTCTCTGTCCTTTCCTGCCATCACTGCCCCTGCCCATGACCTTAACCCTCCATTCCACTGTCATTCTGAATGGCTTTAGTGGTCCACCTTGCTTCCTTTTCCCTTCTGAAACCCAGTGAAGGCCATAGGGGTTTTAGCAACAACGATGGCGACGGCAACAAGAACATCAAAACAGCAATAGGTTTATTAAGCAAAACAACAAGTTTGCTTGTGCATCACGCTGTTTTGTACATTTCTTTGCCTTTACTGCTCGACTATGACATTAAAATGCCTCATTTCACGTTTTATGGAGGACGTACACGAGTGACGATGAAATTTTCTTTCTCTTTCTAAACTTGAGTGCATTCCCCAAGAAATCGACTTCAGGAAAATTTGCCTACATTATTAGACATTTTCAGCGAATTGGAATAAACACAACAAAGTTTGAAAAAACACTAATTCATTTTAAAAGTGACATTTTCGCTGCCGTTGCTGTCGTTGATGCTAAAACTCCCTATTGGGTGGATGTGAGGTGGTGATTCGTTCTCAGCACCATTACACACAGTTCCCTCTGAAAAAAATCATGATTATTATAAATTTCTTTTTTGTGAAATCCTTTGAGTAAAAAAATTGTTGCTCACCATTTTTTTCCAGTGATGAAACACAGAAGAATGGACTGATTCTACTGTATGACATGACAGAATCTGGGTATCAAAATTTTGATTACGGTCTTGCTCGAAAAATTTTGGACTTACTAAAGGTGCCTTATGTTTTTAATGTAACTGTGATTAATAATAATTTTTTTTTTATTCACCTGTCATGTCTTTTCTGGTTAACCTATAATTTTTGCGCTGTTAATGTTGCTGAAAACATAGAAAATACCAGTGGACATTGTGTAAAATTTGAAATAAACAGTTCTGTAACGGCAAATGGCGGCACATGATATCCGTGACAATAAAAACAACAACAAAACATTTAACCCTTTAAGTCCCAATAGTGACCAAGATCAATTTTCTCCTAACAATATCCATACATTGTCAACAGATAAGTTATGAGAATTAATAAAATAATTACCCAAGTAAAAATGCTTTGATCTTTTATCAAATTCTCTCAACTCATTCTTTAAGGAAATGTATGGAGATCAGTTTGGAGAATTTGTATGTGGATACTGGGGTTTAAAGGGTTAATCATACATGAGGCTGAATGACTCACAAGTATCTTACAAAACGATCATCACACATATCCACTGGAAATCCATAGCACAAGAAAAAACTGAAACAAATGGTTTACAAAAACACTTGGGGAAACTTGAAGAAAACTTGAGGTTATTTCACAGTGGCCTCACGCATGCCAATGATGAGGCCTGTGCGCATGCTCCTAATAAAACAAGGGGAAATCCCCTGGACAGGATACCAGAAGTTACAAGTTCTCTACAGTATCATTACATAATCTGACACATAATCTGACATGAGTAAACATATGACCTAAGCTGAAAAAAACTCTGTTTTCCATGTACTGTAAGATAACGAAGTAGAACCAAACACTAATGACAATTTTTTCTTTTGTATATTTTACCCAGGGTGGCTATCCTGCAAGGCTTAAGAATGTTTTCATCATATCACCACCACTTTGGTTTAAAGCAGTTCTAACATTGCTCACAAGCTTTCTTCAACAAAAACTCCGAGATAGAATTGAAATAGTACCTAGAGAGTCACTGGTACAGAGACTTCCACAGGCCTCAGTTCCTGAAAGCTTGGGAGGGATGCTAAAAGTGGACCATTTTGCCTGGTTAAACACATGTCTAATGTCATTTTCTGAATCGATGAAAGAAAATGGAGTAGTAAATGCAAGACAAGGTAACAGAGATTTGATTTACACTGAATCTTCCACAACTGGTGTTGACGCTGGGGTGACAGACGAAGGTGCATTGTCTGTTATGGAATTCATGGAGCATTTAATGAAGCTGACACCCAAGGGAATTAAAAATGAGTTTGTTGATTTAAAGAGACGATCAGGCAATGGCAACTTTTACTCTGCAAAGTAAGTGGATGTCATGTTACTTTATTTCCTTTGCAAGCGCAGTAGTTTTAGTGCTAGTGATCAATGTTGACATGCAGTGATGATGCCATCAGCTTCCATTAATTACAGTTACGGGAAATTAAAAATAGTTGTTAAGTACAACTAAGAATGCTCAGAAAAAAAATCCGAGCCCCTCAGCGGGAATCGAAGCCACGCCCTTCCAGATACCGGTAGGACCCACCAACCACTTATTGATGAACCAATAAAAATTAACCTTATTAACCCATTCGCTCCTGGAGATTTTGCCGAAAAACGCGTTTTGAAGCTAGTCGAGTGGTTTTCTGGTCACTGTCATGCTGTAAAGAGCTAAAACTTACCACAAACCGGTTTACAGGTCGTACACTTGGCGGCCTTTTGATCCAGATGCAAAATATCAGCTTGTGAAGTTCAGGCATGCGCAGAAAGCAAAATTTCGAGATAGTTTTTGGGTTTAAAAGTGACACAGCAGTCTTGACTTTTACTTTTCGCTTTCTCTCCTCCCTTCTTTTTTCGCTTTTCTTGCCTCATTTTTTTTTTCTCTTGCTGGGCATTTAGTAGGCTTCATTTTGGTGGGAAGAGTTTTTAGGAAAGCTTTTAGGATCTTAGGATTAGGTGAAAGGAAAGGTAGGTGGGTAATGGAACAAGATTTTCATGGAGATTTTCAGGTCCTTGTCACGTGGTTTTTTGCTTCTTTCTCCGGTGTCCTTGACTGAATTGTGCTCATTCTGGTATGGTTTGAAAGATCTCTTCACTCCGCACAAGTTAGCGAAGAAAGTTGTCCTTGACCGTTAAAACTGATGACGTCACAAAGGGTAGAAAGGACCTGGATCCGCGCGGGCGGTTACGGGCGGTTCAGGGGCGAATGGGTTAACATATTTTTTAAAAATCCACACAATGCTTGAAAACCTTAAGGTACAAAAGTGTATAGTAGCTATTTCTGTTGGGCTTGAGGAAAAAAAGAAAAGAATGCAAAATTATTTATCCCAAACTACTAGACACACTCTGCATGTAGAGGCTATTAAACTTAAAGGCAATAAAGACGTACAAATTACAGAACTGGATACAACTTTTGAATCTGTGAATGAAAAGCGACTAGTATTTTTAATACCATTCTCATAAAAGTGCAGTACTTTCCCGTGGTACCAGCCACCTTCCTTATTGTTTAGTTAACTTTTAAGTGTACATGAGACTATGGGGTGTTCACTGAGAAGAACTGGGAATCTTTCATTTCAAATACAGTACTTACATTACACCATTTTTTATTGACTGAAATTTAAAAAAATAATAAAATGATATGATGTTATTTTAAGAGAGCTATGTCATTTGCAGATTACCAGAAAATAAGACGAAAAATAGGTACCTTGATGTTTTATGTCTTGAAGAATCAAGGGTGAAGCTTACCAACTTGGATGGGAATACAGTAAGCTACATGTATTTCAATCTTTGTTTTTGTTGTTGTAATTTTTACACTTGATTTTGCTAATGTTGTGTCAAAACAGTGTTTTCAAATTATTTATTGATTAGAATCTTGAGAGATCCCAAACCCACTGTCTTTGACAATTTGCATGAAAATTTACTGCCATTGACGTCACTGTACTTGTTGTAACCATTTACTCTATTCTGACTATCATCTAGGCAAAAGGAGGCAACAAAACTATTTACAACCTTGTTTACAAATCAACATTCATGTACCGGCATATTACCGCACTTTTCACAAACATCCAAACTCTAAAGTGCAAAAGCCGCCTTCACAAATATTGCGTTTTTCACTGCCGTCAATCATAATTACTATCAAAAGCAACAAACCTTGAAACACAGAAACACACAAAACGGATCCAAATCCACTGATTACATCACAAATGATGACCTTTTGAACCCGTTAAAGTAAAGTTTTGTTTCCTAGGAGGTCCGTTAAGATGATTGACGGCAGCAAAAAACGCAATCGTCAGTTGGCTTTTGAACTTCACAATTCGCATGTTTGTGAAAAGCGCAGTAACACAGGGTTCCTATTAATGCACACATGTGCATATCTTATGTGCAAAAATCGTAAGGGATTCTCCCTTCTTTAAACTGAAGAGTCCCAAGAATGTACAGGGACTGGTTACTACCATTACATCTTTGCAGCCTTTGGCCTCATGTACAGAAATACATTGTGGAACATTAATTTTCAAAACAAGTGGGAAGTCTATTAACAGAAATAAATTGTCTCTGGTGGAAGCATGAAGTTCTCAGGTGTAAATGGTTTATATCAAAACACAAGCAAAAGCATTAATTTATGGACAGTACATCAAGTTCCTGTCATTCTCATTCAATAATTATTTTATTGAATCGTTAATTTAAGAGTTTCTACAATTTACTTGGAGCTCAGACATTATTATTATTGTTATTATTATTATGAAATTATTATTATTATTATTATTATTATTATAACTATTATTACTATTATTATTTACAAAAGGGTAGCAACTTCCATACTATAAACTACATGTATGTTGTATTTCTGCAGAAATCAAACTATATACACGCAAACTACATGGATGGGTACAAGCAACCAAAAGCATACATAGCTACTCAGGGTTTGTATTACTTTATTCAACTTGATAAAATATTACTGAAACAGTGCATTATAACTTGGGGATTTAACTCATGAGTGGAGAGTAGTGGGTTTTCAATTTACATATTATTGCAAAACACCAGAATTTTTTTCTGGAAGGCCTTTGTGTTGCAGGGAATTATACCAATATGGTGTGAGAAAATTAGGCTCCAAACAGTAGTCAACAACAGTTAATTGGTTTATGGTTTTGTGGCTTGCTTGCAAGGCCTTTTTGATTGGTCATCACATAATAAAATGAATGTTTATGAGATGTGGTGCGCACAGTTTTCTTTCTCTGTTAGTAAAACAAAGTTTCAATTAAATTTTGTGCATTAATGCTCACTTACAGTGTATAAAACACAATGTAGTTTTTAATGCTTTTCTTTCTTTCTTTCTTTCTTTATTTATCTATCTTTATTTACAAGGACCACTTCCCAACACTAAAAGTGACTTCTGGCAAATGCTGTGGGAGCAACAAGTCTATGTCATCGTCATGGTAACGAGGTCAGGCCTTCAAGTACAATGTTGCACAATAATAATTGTTTATTTATCACATTATAATAAATTATAATACTAATTATCAGAATTTTTATTGATCCTACTTGATGTTTTCTCTTCAAACTGAAGGGAAAGAAAAATATACACATGGGCTTTGATTTATATTAATCAATAACAAAGCCCTTTCAAGATGAAACTTACTTCGCGAGGAAGCCACGTTAGCCCTGCCTAATCCCCTTTTTTGCTACCAAGAGATTTTTGGTTTAATCTGTTAACTGATGAGGCACCTCTTAATAAACTATTCTTTTTTTTTGCAAATTTTAATGTGGATGAGTTAGCATAAATCTATTGCCATCGCTGAGAAGAGCGTCTTAAAGGGACAGGTTCACGGTTCAGCGTATGCTCATTAATTAAATTACTTTTTTTCCAATTTATTATTAATTCTATGGGTTATAATCCCACTCACATGTATCTCAGCGATCTCAGAGTGTATTTCAAAGTAAAAGTGTATTTTAGAGTAACCTGAAGTGGGATGGAGGAGTACTAAAATAGCAGAAAAATTAGTGAATTATGCCAACGCTGCCAACGTTGAATTTATTGTTGACCCGAGGGTTTTATTCCATGGTTGATTAATTTACAGCTATTTGCACCTAAGTTGGTCAAGTGACTACCAGGGGAGTGTTCAGATTGGTTCTTTGACAAGATTATGACATGATCATATTGCTTTCATAGACGATACAGCATGTCTCGGCAGAAAAATAGCATTTTGATTAACGAGCATGCGCTGAACCGTGAACCTGTCCCTTTAAAATCTGTAAAGTTGCCAAGTTTGAGAGTGATAGGATAAAGACTAATGAATATTTGACTCTGCTTTTCACAAAATTTGAAAGGCTTTTGTAAAACTTTCACGACTTTGCCGGAGGAGCACTGTCTTCGCTCGTTTCTAAACACTTGGCAAGTTCGCTAATTTTATGGTGATCTTTCTAACAGCATTCATAGAATTACTCTGGCAGTACCCTGTCAGAAGTTGAAAGAACTGTGCAAGGGTGTATTGGCAGACCTGGTATTATTAGTGGAAGGCAAACCTTTGACATCCTTGATACAGTAGAACATCGACCTAATGAAGTGCAGTGGAAAATGCATGGGAAAATGTTTTACTTGGAGCGCCATGCCATAAAATTATTTTGCCTTAACTGGGAAAAAGAATACCTTTTTGATCAAAATAACTTTCTTACAGTAGTAAATTAATTACTATGTATGTACATGGCCTCTCATAGACTGCAAAACAGTCGGTTTTTTCCTCAAGATCAGTAAAGAAATCGATAAAGCGTGACGTAAGAGTCTTGGCTCGCGTGTACTTGAATACGCAAAAATACGGACTGTTTTGCAGTCTAGGCCTCATGTACAGAAATACATTGTGGAACATTAATTTTCAAAACAAGTGGGAAGTCTATTAACAGAAATAAATTGTCTCTGGTGCAAGCTTGAAGTTCTCAGGTGACCTGATCATATTGCTTTCAAAGACGATACAGCATGTCTCGGCAGAAAAATAGCATTTTGATTAAGGATCATGCGCTGAACCGTGAACCTGTCCCTTTAAAATCTGTAAAGTTGCCAAGTTTGAGAGTGATAAGATAAAGACTAATGAATATTTGACTCTGCTTTTCACAAAATTTGAAAGGCTTTTGTAAAATTTTCACGACTTTGCCGGAGGAGCACTGTCTTCGCTCGTTTCTAAACACTTGGCAAGTTCGCTAATTTTATGGTGGTCTTTCTAACAGCATTCATAGAATTACTCTGGCAGTACCCTGTCAGAAGTTGAAAGAACTGTGCAAGGGTGTATTGGCAGACCTGGTATTATTAGTGGAAGGCAAGCCTTTGACATCCTAGATACAGTAGAACATCGACCTAATGAAGTGCAGTGGAAAATGCATGGGAAAATGTTTTACTTGGAGCGCCATGCCATAAAATTATTTTGCCTTAACTGGGAAAAAGAATACCTTTTTGATCAAAATAACTTTCTTACAGTAGTAAATTAATTACTATGTATGTACATGGCCTCTCATAGACTACAAAACAGTCGGTTTTTTCCTCAAGATCAGTAAAGAAATCGATAAAGCGTGACGTAAGAGTCTTGGCTCGCGCGTACTTGAATACGCAAAAATACGGACTGTTTTGCAGTCTAGGCCTCTCACTACTTGTTACTCATAGGTTGTTGTCTTTTTAATTTCTCAAGGTGCTTCGAGAGAAGTCGAATGAAATGCATTCAGTATTGGCCAGAAAACAGTGAAACAAACCAGTTTGAAACAGTTGATGTGACTCATCAAGAAACTCTAGAATTTGAAGATCACGTTGAGAGGACATTTTCCCTGAGACACAAAAAGGTAATCATGGCATATTTTACTGCAGAGACAGCACACAGTTGTCTAGTTAGACACTTACGTCCAGAAATACTAGCAGCTTGGAATTTAGGTACTTCATATTAGACACAGTTGTTATTTGTAGTGTCCATGTCGCTTCATGCTTGACAAAATTGCTTGCGTTTAGCTGGGGATTAGGGCTATGGGACACTTCGTGATATTTATCATAAAAGGATGAATCTTATTCAGAGGGAGCTTGTGGTAAGCAATGACGAAGACGACGGCAGTGAAAACATCGCTAAAAAAATGAATTTGCGTCTTTAAAAACTTTATCGCGTCTATTTGAATCCGCTCAATTTATCAAATATACAAATGTAGGCGATTTTTCCTGGAGTTGAATTCTTAAGGACTTTTTGCAGGTTCAGAAAAGGGAAGGACAATTCCTCGTCGTATGTTCACCTCCTGTATAAAACGTCGCATTAGTTGGTTTTACATCGTAGTAATGCAATGGACGTCAAACAAATGTACTACACCAATCCTGGACATATCTGTAGCTAGTCAGTACAGTAGGGTGGTTACATCCGTAGCGGCAAGGCTGCTATTCATTCCCTTATAAGCGTCTGCCACACAGGCTGTTAGGCCCTCAGATTTTGCACACCTTCGCAGCACTCGTCACGCAAGGACGGGGAGCACTGCGTGACTCCGGCCCGACCGCAAAGGAGACTAGCCTTGTCTCCGCCACTGTGTTCAGTTGTCCCTTTAGACATTCGTAGCACAAGGTCTGTTTCACATAATGCGTAGATCCGCGGTTTTTAGCTTAAGTAAAGAAAATAAATTTTGCATTGTCCGCGAGTGGGTCATTTGCACACACTTCTAAGCCCCATCGGTGGCCGTGGTGGTTTCATGAAACTGTTGCTACCGCCTTTCCCCACCCCCCGTGGGCCATGGAAATGTGTAACAGTTTGCATCAGAACGTTGTCGCAAATGGTATATGGTTTTTAGTCCTCCTTGGCCTGCCAGTAATTATATATCATTATGAATTTGTTCTTCTCGCTTGTTTGTATGTTCTATTTCAAAAATATGATTATTTTATAGACTATGCGCAGTATAAATAATTGATAATAAATAAATAATAAAAATAAAATTATTGCGTAGACCGACGATATTTACAAAATACTACAACCTTGATTTCACGATGCATTGCTTCCGTTTATTACAGAATGTGTAAGTTATTACAAAGTGCCGCAACACTTGTAACAAAGTGTGTCATTATAACAAAACGTCCCAGAGCAAAAATACTTGGAATTAATGTCACGATAAAAATGCAAATTTTCTTATGTACATATCCATATCCATTTTTTAACCTTAGTCTGGAGAAACGCGAAGGATAACTCATTTTCAAATGACTTCGTGGCCAGATTATGGAGTGCCCTCTTCAGCAGAATCCTGCCTCCATGTGATTGGCCTTGTTCGTGAGGCCCAAACAGATGCAGTGCAGGCCTTGGGGTCAAGATGGAAGGGACACCCCAGAGGCCCTCCCATTTTAGTGCACTGTAGTGCAGGCATCGGTCGCACAGGGACCTTCTGCACGATTGATGTCAACGTGGCTCGTTTGAGCGACGTGGGCAAATGCGAGATATTCAACACAGTGAAGCATTTTCGGGCTCAAAGGGCCTTGACTATTCAAACAGTTGAACAGTACGAGTTTTGTCACCTGGCCATTTTAGAGCATGCCCTTAACATGCCAAGTACAATGCAAGAAGAAAAAGAGGCGATCAGAGACTTCTTAGAAGGCTGGAAAATGCAACTTAGGGACTCAACTGACTGATAAGTGGATAGTTGATGTTTGCGGTGTGAAGCCGGGCTCCTGATGTACCCCCTGGTCTCTGTAGTCATAGTGTATCCTTAGATGACAATACATGCTCCACTCATTAGAGACCTTTAGATTCTAAGACCAGTACGACTACGAGTACTAGATTTTCTTGATACAAAATAGTGCACGCGCGTGAACCAGCGTCATTTTGGTGGGAAAACGTAGCCGTCGTTATTCTACCACGAGTTATAGCGAAAATATCGTAGTGCGCTTTCCATTTACCAAGAAATTCCGGTTCGGAATTTTCCGTGCGTTCCACTGAAAATTCCCGGGGATTAGTGGGATTTTGAAAAGGTAGTCCTGTTTTCCGGCTGGAATCTTTGCGGTGGAAATGCATGTTCCAGTTACGAGTTTTTACGAGGAATCACCAGTTCCAGGCTATTCAAGGAGATATCTGTGTCACCATTTTTAATTTTGGTGATGAGAGCATGAAAGGAACTTGTGTCAAATGGAACACGTTCTTAGCTCGTTGGACCTCTCCATGGAAGTTTCTCAAAGTTTTTGGTAAATGGAAAGCGCCCGTAGTCGTCGAAACAAGTGATCAAATGTTAGAAGACTTATCATTTTAGGATCAGGGGAGGGCTTATCCTCCTTCATTAGAAATAATGGTGCCAACTTTTCTGGTGGAAAAAAGTACAACGGAGCTTTCTGGGGTGCCTATTTTTTGAGAATACAGTCGACTCCCGCTGACTCGAACCTTCAAGGGAAATCTACATCTACATTTATCGGGAGTTTGAAGCAAATAACCGGAAGTAGGGAAATGAGCAAATGGATGCTGAGGGAATGCAATTAAGCAACAAAGTATACAGAGATGGACACTGAGTTTGAACTGGAGTGACAAAAAAGGAAAGACAAAGAATTGACTCGGTGGTTTTAAAATAAATTCAACGTTTCGGACTTCAATACACGGTCTTCTTCCCAACTTGTCACGTGCTTATAACATGGTTCCAGTTATCGAGGGAAAAACTGTATAGAAGTGATCAGAACGGAAACAAAAATGACTTCGAGTTTGCGGGAGGTTCGAGTTATCGAGGGTTCGAGTTACCGAGGCTAAAATTACAGTAAATGTAAGAAGGAAATCCAGGGGAAATCGACTTTGGTTCGAATTAGCGGGAGGTTCGAGTTATCTAGGGTTCAAGTTACCGAGGGTAAAATTACGGTAAATGGAAGAAGGAAATCCAGGGGAAATCGACTTTGGCTCTAGCCTCCCACGCAGACGTTTTTACGGGTTCGTCACGCAATGACGAGCCCCCCAAGAACGTTTGCATGGGAAGCTACTCTGGTTCGAGTTAGCGCGAGGTTCGAGCTATCGGGAGCTGAACTGTACGTGAAAAAACTTTGTTACCTCTCGTCCTTGTAGTCGTCCTGGTCCTGGAATCTGAAGCCGTCTGTGATTTCTTTTGATGTGAGGATAGTTGGCCACTGATATTTTTGCCACATACCTCTTCTGTTATCTGTAATTGAGTAGACCGTGGAAAAATAGACTCATTTTCTGTTATTAATAACAGAATAGGAAATCTAGAAACTCAAACGTTTTATATTCATCAGTTCAGGGAGATTCTAGTTTAAGTCATTCTCAGTTTTCTCTTGTTTTTACTCTTAAAACGTTTCTGTGAGACGTTTTACATCAAGAGCAATACTTGCTTAATCTGGGTAAATCTCCTTAGCGTTTTGTTAACTGTACAGCATGCTGGAAAGACAACAATAGTTCTCTAGGACATGAGCTATTCATCTGTACTTTGATAGATCATTAGTAGCGGCCAAACGCTTAGTATTCGATCAGTACACTAGTATATAGAAAGTATTAGGTAATAGAAGCGGATCAATTTAGGTGTTTGGGAAACTGCCCACCTACCCCTCCCCTAAACCATCGTTATCACTAACTTCTCACTTAGGGCAAAATGTTGGCGTAGGGAAGGGGTAGGTGGGCACTAGAAATACCTAAGATGACAGCAATTTACTCCAGGAAAAGGATCTGGGGAGGGGATGGCGACTGTCCCATATTCACTTATAGTTGGGCATGCCACAGAAACAGGGTTACTAAGCAGTAAGCCGTAATGTAATTTGCATGCTCTTGCTAATCAGTTCTTGGAACTGACAAATGTCACCCTCTAGATAACGTGAGTTTGGTTTTAGGACTCACAAACAAACGTGAGAATAAGAAACCGTACAGTGGAACTTTTTGGGGGACATTTTTGTGTAGCCTGCAGGCGTTGTTTCTTCGCATTTTTCAGGCGAGTGAAGGCAAGCGCGAAGCAAGCGAGGAGCACCAGACACGCCCGACTGGGAAAGGTGCGCGCGCGTGTCCCGTGTCTGCCGTGTCTAGCTCGCCAGGAAAACGTGAAAAAAAGCGCCTGTTCTCCAAACTAATTTTTGTGTGGTCATTTAGCGTATCAATGCAAAATTTGTAAAGTAAGTTTGGATTTGTTAGTTTTCTTGTAAATACCGTAAAATTCAGAAAACAAGCCCTTCCATGTTCAAGCCCCTCCAAATATAAGCCCCCCAAACCGGTAACGCAAAAAACCCTCCGTTAAATCGCCCCTCCAAATACAAGCCCCCCGGGGGCTTGTACTTGGAAAATTGCCCTCGAATACAAAGTAAAACAAAGCAAAAACGGTAAATTTACTTCCAACTATAAGGCTAGGCCAATCGATTTTGAAACGCAAATTCCCCTCCGTAGATAAGCCCCTCCGAACATAAATAAGCCCTCAAAAAGGGCCTTTGAAAAATATAAGCCCCGGGGCTTATTTTCGGAATTTTACGGTATTTTTTATTAATTAGTTAGTATATTTTATGATCATCAGACAGTACAAACTGTAATTAATTTTAAATTATAAGGGTGTCACCATTTTTAATGGCCCTAGAGGTGCTAACCAGTGAGACCCAGTCTTGATAGTCTGTATATGGAACATTCAAGAGGTAACTGGCTAGAATAAACAAAAAAAAGGGAATGTAAATAGTAAACCAAGCATTGGTTTAGGTGCGATTTTATTAAATATAGAATAGTTTGTTTCCAATCCGGAGCGATGGTCACGTAATTAGACAATTCAGTCATGGAAAAACGAAAAAAATTCTAGGGAAGGACAACTTAGAGAATTCTGCAATAAGGCAGAAAGGAAAGGAAAGTCTACGAAAAATGGGAAATTTTACTTTCCGGTTGCCACAGGGCTTTGTGAAGATTATTTAAAGACATTTTTAAACTAGAAAAACCTTCTGTAGTTGATCAATTTCAATACTCCTAATCCTGCCAAAAATATAGTTTACCTGGAAAAAAATGCAAAGAGATCAAAAATGAGAGAATTACTATTCATGGGATGCGAAAGAACTGCGAAGTGCAAGGTAAACTACAGTTGTTTTTAAAAGGACAGCATATGGTCAGGCTAGGGTAATGAGTGGAAAACCCTGATGGTAAACAAGCAGTATTAATTTTATATTAGTCTAGAAATACCACAGGTTTTCTATAAATACCGTTAGGAACTATTTGCGTGCACTGATTTCTATTTTCAGTCTTGACTTAATTGTTTTTGTTGTTGTTTTTCTTTTTTAGTAAGTTCTGAGTCATCGGAAGGATGAATCGTGAACTACTTTTTTTTAACTACTTGAACTCCTAACTTATATAAAGTACTTCAAGTTTATGAAACTTTTTGTCATCCACTTTCCAAAGGTAATGCATGGTTATTACTTAAATCTGACTTTTAATGTAAAAAACGCATTTTTTTGCGTGTGTCATTCAATGAAATACAAAAATAGATGCCCAGTATGTGAAATTAAGTTAATGAAACTGAGACAGTTAAAAACAAATTCACAACCCCGTGCTATGAAATAAAATTCAGTACGAGGGCACATTATTTATGATAATATATTCTTTGGTATTAAGTCATCGCTCATGCGAGCGTTAATTTCTCCCCGAATAAGGCTATTGTTTTGATTATGGTATTGGCAATCTGTGGTTTTGCTCATTTCGTCTTTTTCTAGGACTTAGGGTTAAAAATAAATACAAAAATAAATGTCAATCACGCTAGCGCCGGGACAGGGATTACTCAATAAATTTTCCGCCTTTAAGACTAACTCCTGATCGTTTGATATACCATTTCTCACGAAGAAACAAAGAAAAGGCGCCCTCTTTCGCATCCTCTCCAGCGAAAAATAGTACTGCTTTTCCGTAACCTACCTTTAAAGAATACTGGATCTCTTTTTTTAAGTGCTTGGCATTAGGTCAATGAACGTCATTGCGGGAAGACCGGCATACGTAAGGATAGTCTGCTCGAAATTTCTTTACCCTTGTATACGCTTCAACTCGCGCATACTGTGAAGTCTGAAAAGCTACCCCTTTTAGGTGGAGCCTCCCCGTATGCCCCCCTATATGAGTACTACCTCCCCCTCTGGGTGCCAGTGCCTTTCGGGGAGAGCCTCCCCATACGTCCCCCTATAGGAGTACTACCTCCCCCTCTGGGTGTGACTGTCTTTGTAAAAACGTTTTTTTGAACACTGTAAGTTAAAGTGAAAGGTCCAAAGGTGTCGTTAGAACAACATTCTCCCTTATTTTTGCAAAATAGTGCCCCTGCTCCCAGGCTAACACATTCTCGTTCCCAGAGCCCTTCGTTTCTTAAGTCTCTTGTTCTTGACCGTCACAAAACCGGTGCTTAGTGACAAGGTTACACTGAAATCGAACCAAACGGTGATTAAGTCAGGACCCACCAAGGAATGGTGGCAAGACAGTCAGTAATGAGACTCTCATAAGCCTGATATAAATACTTTTATTTTTTTAAAAAACTGCAGCATTACAGCAAATAATGGACAGTGTCTATACACTAAGCTCTTCAAATTATTACCAATGCACAGCTGAATAAATTTTTCACCAATTAAAAAACATCACTTTACAACAAGCACAAGACAATGCCTTTAAGTCAGGGCTTGTAATTATTTAGAAAATAATTTACTTATTACCAGCAATGTTAAATAGAATCCAAGGCTTACAATATCATATTAACAAGATTTTGCAAAAATAGTTACACAAGCGTAAGCAAATTTTCTGTACAGAATAGCATTAAATTTCCGCCCACCTCTTTCCCAAATAAATTAATTTTGAATTTCTCCTTATAAATATTTGTCTCCTGTTTCATATTCCTTTTTTCCATACATACACTTCCCTTATTGCAATATATGTAGTTAATATAAGAAATTAAAAACAATCTGAATTGGGAAGGCTTCAATAATAAAACATAGATTTAATATTTTAGCCTTGCAAATCAATAATTGATTGCAATTAAGTCATTTTAGCTGTCCACACAACTAATATTTCAATCACGTCATTAAAATCACATCCCTTACTTCAATATAAATCTACTTTCAAAGTGCTCATTAGTGCCAAAACAAAATTAAAATGGGCAGCTTAAAAGCTTTAAAAGAAATAAAAATAATTTCAAGAATTACTTTGTGAATTTCTCCTATAACTTTTAAAAACTGTAACAACACTAGTAAAAAAATGGGAATGAAACCTAACTAAAAAAAATAAAATACATCCGACTAAAACCCACCAAATATCAAACCAAAGTACCCAAGAAGAGTCAGAGATCTACAGATAAAGCAAAGTGACATACTGTACTATCAAAATACTGTACATTTTTTTGGAAAATATTTTTCCAATCCCCCCTACCCTGTAAAAAAAATGCTTTGAACTGAAGCTATAAAACCTGAATAACATGGATAGAAAAAAATAAATAATAAACCAATACACCACTATGCTACCGTTAAAAATAACACAGACCAAATGGACCATTAAAGACATTTTTCTTACAAGTAAAATTGACATTTTCTTGAAGATATGCCTTTCCAAACACACTGTCTAAAAACACTGAGGATGGTATGCGGGCATGTTGCAGATCAATAACAGTCTTTGCTGGATCTAAAATTTCTGCAGTTCCGTTTAAGGATGCTTGGATTTTAAATGCAGCAGACAGAGTCTCAAGTCCTTCTTTCTTGCTTTCTAATCCTAATCGTTCCACTACATCATCTCTGTACTTCTGTTCATAACGCTCCCCACTGAACGACCGCGCCTCAACATGATCGAGTATAATGGGATCTGATTCTCCAGAATCTGCCATAAAGTCTTTTAAGGACATAACTTCACTTGAACTGTCGGTTTCTACAACTACTTCTTTAGGCACTGGGGCATGTTCAGTGGTGTCTACAGAATTGTCCATGGAAAGGCACTCTTCAAATATCCAGCCTTTCAGCATGCATTCCTCATAATCTCCTATCTCATCCTCTATATGCAAGGGTTCCAAACAGATTGGTTCATCACAAGGAAATGAATACTGGTGTAGGTACGGATGTGACAGAGCCTCTTCCGCACTGATTCTTTTGTCTGGGTTGAACTTCAACATTTTAACCAGCAGATCAAGAGCTGTAGAGAAAATAGAAATACAACGTCAATCAAATATTGCATCACTTCCACATAAAATTCAGGAAGAGGGAGTTTAAGCAACTAACGATAGAAGAAAGAGAGGCACAAAAAATTAAGATCATTCATAATAACAAAACAATGCCTCTAGACTGGTCTAGCAGATTGGTACATTTCTCTGCTGTTCACCGCAAATTATCAAATTCAAACTACCCAATGCAACGTTTTACAAGAACTGAAAGCAGTGTTTAATTTTCAATGTTTTGAACTCGAACACTTTCTCTAGAAATTCACTACCTAGGAATTCAGTTCATTTATTTCAAGGTAAAGAGGGTGTGTTGTGTATACAAGTGCCCATTTCCTTGGTGTTGCTATCGTAATAAATTGCTGGTCCTCCCCTTCCAGTTTTAAGGTTATTACGTAAGGGCAAGAACATTACATCTGACTTGCTGTGTGCAAAACAAAGAATTACTACGTCTTTTATGTTAGCGAGAGTGCTATGATACAAAATACTAAAAATATCGCAAATGTTGCGCAGGCTTGACAATATTTTTAAGAGATGTTCCTGTTGAAGCTTGGAGAACTTCAACCGACAGCTTTCGTAAGTGGATGTTTATATTAATCCTGTCATTGTTTGGCCAATGCATGATATCTTGCATGAAAGCACCACATCTAGAACAATCCCTGCTATTTAAGCAATGTGTCACGCCAAATGTGTTCGTTTCAGTTGCGAGCATTCTTGTCGCAGAAGAGGTCGGTCAAAAAAGTCAACGAATTAATTGTATGAATCTTTGCTATTCCACTAATCGTTATGCAGAACGCGGCAGTAGCTTTTAGCGTCTTTTGATACTGGGTCTTACTTGTTCATAATAATAATTTCGATTAACACCTTGAAACAGAATTCGAAACATACTTTGTCCTTACTTTTGAATCAACCGATAACGTGACAGATTCCCTAATAATGGATCGATCTGCTATCCATCGCGTAAAAGCACCAATGAAGAAATACACGTCAACGTAAGGCATAAACACGGCTCTCACGCCAAAGCGATCTGTAAGAGGAAAATTGTTTCATCCGTTTCGTATGGTACAAAATCACACCGCAACGCTAGAATTTCACTGATTGCGGTAATATGTAGATTTCGCTGCGGTTCGTTGAATTTTTAACTAATAGCTAAATTTAGAAACAATTACATGAAACTGAAATTTAGAGAAGTCAAGAAAATCCTTTCTATTTCTTTCCCAACGGAACAAATAAGAGTCGAAAACGACTGAAAGAAGATATATCACGACATAAGACAATTTTAGCTCACGATATTCTTTTGTTTACAAAGTGCTTGACAATTCTTATGAAATATTAATAGGGTACCAAAGTACAACTCTCGATTCGGCACATGCTAACTCGCACAACCTAAATTTTAGTAAAATTCAAGAATTACCCAATATTGCAGTTTGACCACAAAAAAAAGGTTTATTACACGGGTCTGTGAAACAGAGGGAAGAAAAAAGCTAAAATTGAGAAATAGATTATCGTTAGAAAACAAGGGCGTTGCGGGTGTCCCGCGTTCGTTTTGCGCGCATAATAATGAACTCAATGTTTACATGGATTTCAACCAACAACAAAACCACCTTTACCTTGAATATCTACGTAGGAAAACTTGCTTCCTAAGGGCGATCCTTGATTTTCTGTCTTCGCCATTGCCGTCTTTTCAGGAATTTGAGGTCTAAGTTTTAACCACTCTTCCTGAGTGAGGCAAACAGAGTCGAGGATCAGTTCGAGTTGGTCGATTTCATGCTGCCCTTCGAACAAGGGTTTACCCAACAGCATCTCGGCAAAAACACAACCAGCGGCCCAGATGTCCACCGAACTATCGTAAATCGAAGAATTCAACAGCAGTTCAGGAGATTTATACCATAACGTGGATATACCGTGAGTGAGATAGCCGTTATGCGAATAAGCCGGGTCTAGAATTCGAGAACGGCCAAAGTCGCCTATGGTCAGCAGAAGAGTCTCCGAGTCTACTAAAATATTGCTTGGTTTAATGTCTCTGTGAACTACATTACTAGAATGAATGTATTTAAGTCCTCGGAGCAGTTGATACAAAAACAGTTTAACGTAGTCTTCTCGTAGCTTTCCTTTACTTTCCAGAATGCGATGAAGATCGTTATCGAGCAGTTCTTCTACAAGAAAGAGTTCCGTTGCCTCTTTGAAATTTTCTGCCGCGCCGTCTTGAAACGCATAGCCCTCGGAGTCCACAACTTTTGTTAATTTCAATACATTTTCGTGGTCTAGTTTCTTCAAGATTTTAACTTCTCTCAGAGCTGCTTTACAACTCATTCGGTCTCGAACAAGAAGTCTTTTCAGGGCAACGCGTTGGTCTGTTTCCACATCGATCGCTGAATAGACAGCGCCGCTGCCACCGGTTCCCACAAGTTTCGTGTTCGTGAAATTAGGACCAAGAAAATCGGAATTCGCTTCTTCTGACATTGTAGCAGTCTCGATCTATGAAGTGTGTTCACCAAAACTTCAGGGCGAAATGATTTAGGATTAGAAGGAAATACTTATTTCAAAGGGCGACATCGTCACATGTGAGGTAAGGGATAACTCTTTCCTGTGCCCCCGCCAAAAATGTTTTACCTTGACATCGGTTGACCAAGTTTTTTTACCGGTAAACGCAGTTGCGACGGTAATATTACACCACGCGTGATTGGCTATTACATTTTTATGGTCAATGAAAGAAGGCCTGTGATTGGTCGGGTCACGCTTAATTTACTTCAAAATCAATCATATCACATGCTCTTTCACATGACAGGGCAGTGGGTTGCATCAGGTGTTGGGAATAGTAAACTTCTGCCTTTGGCTCGCGACACCTTTCTATTACGTAACTGAAACTACAACTTACGGCGCGTGCAACGCAGTATAGGTGTCAAGCGTGCACCACTTTAAATGTGTTGTAATATACTGTATTTATTTTTCTAAGGAGAAATACTTCGTGAGTAAGGCAAAATTATCTGTCCGTGCAAAGAATGGTCAACATACGAACGCACGCAACAATCGTGCAACGTCATGAAGCTGTAGGAAATTTTTGTTTTGACACACGCAGGGCAACTCTCTTTATTAGTTTATACCGGTACTTGGTTTGCTCTATCTTATTATTTCAATATCACTCAGAAGGGAGCCATTTTCTTAATCTTTGACAATTTTTTTTTTCGCTGGAATATTAAACTGTAAATTTGTCACCATTTTCCATCGAAAACTTGCACTTTAAAAAGGTCTTTAGAGTTCCGTTTGAGATGCGTGGGAGCGCGAGTGACGAACGCGAGTGACGACGAATGAAAGTAGATTTGCATAAAAGCATGAAAAATTAAAGGAAGTTTTTCTACAGAATCTATCGTACTTAACGAATGACGTAGTCTACTAACCGACTCAGGAATACCTTATAGCTTCCCGTCTGTTTTGGCCAAGAATCGCATTAATCATTACAAAGTAATGTGAAGGAAGGAAAGTCGAGTAAAGACCTAGTAAGAAGTCTGATAAATACGTTGTATAAACTCGAGGTGGAAAATATCACCTGTCGAAGTGACTGTATTCAAATTTAGCACAAGTGATTAAAAATTTACCAGTATTTCTAAAAAAGAAGTCAAATAAAAACAAAAAAGTAATAAAAACGACCTGAAAATACGCACTGATAATGAAAACTTGGGCCACGGCCACGACTCAGCCCTAAGGCAGTACCTAGTCGCAAATCGCGAGAATAGCCAAAATTTTCAACGCGAATGTACGTTCCTAGCTCTCATACCGCAAAGGGAAATGTTTTAATTTTAGAAGCTAGCCACAGGAATGACTTTGAGACCGCATAGCCACTAAAAAATAGTGAGATGGCTGTCGGTTTTTCTGAATAATACTTCAGATTTTAAATATGTTCGACAGTCACATCGAGCTTAGCTAGAGAGCTGAGTGCTACAATATTTAAAAAGTAAATTAAGCTTCTAGTAAAAAATGAGAAGTAATACGCATGTGGGCGCTTTAGTTTTCTCTGAAGATGAAATAATCATATTTCCGCAAAACATGTCATCTCCTTCGTGTGCGGCAATTACTGTGCCACGCCACCAACATTCAATTACTAGTCACATGTCGCCCAGCGATACTTTGTTCATTGTTTTTAAACGGCTCGCTTCAAGACTTTCAATATTCATCTCGAGACTGCATCTACGCGCCAAGGGTCGTTGATTAGTCTCAAACCTACCGAAAATATAATTTTAGTTCTTTGACGTAAGTTATGAACAAAATTAAACACGATCATGATGACTCAAAGTGACTGACTTATAAAATGACGAATGACTCTGCAGCAACATAAAATATCAAGATATTCACTAAATTTATCACTTAAACTTTTAGGACTGAGACTCCAACATCACTTCTTTTTCATCGATAGTAAAAATGCGCAAAAACTAAAATTAAAAAATATGCACCGTGATTTTTACAACTCCATGGCTGGTCGCCATTAGCGGCCTTCGCCAAAGTTTTCTTTGAAACTCGCACAAGTGACCTTGCCTGCTCGCGGGCTAGGTTCCTACTTATTACAACACAACAGTCGCTTTCCTTGTTGTAAAAGGTGGCGAGTCAAGCTGCGGAGGGATATCAAAACCCGACTTTCTGTCTATCTTCCAGTAGCCCGTGTACAGCAGCACCCGTCCCCCTTCCCCTCAAGTTTGAGGGAAGGGGGCGGCTTTACACAGGCTATCTTCCAGTGGATATACCCTTTTATGTTTTGAGCGCTATAACCTTTTGAACAACGAAAGGTTCAGCGTCAGGTTTTCGTTTGGTACTGCTTTGACTGACAAGAGTCTGGATTCGAAAGCTAGACAGACCAAAAACCAAAATGAATTAAATAAAATTGGCGGCTTAACCGCATGTATTATTGAAACCACCCCGCTCGCTCCGTTTGTCATCATATCAAAACCGCAAAGATATCAGGTAAAAGAAATTGGCTTCAGTCTGCTGTATTGACGTTAATTATGAGTACCTTTATTCATTTTGCTGGATATTTGGCTGTAGTTTAAAAAGTACATGCCGTGAGAAATGACTGTAAGATTTAAAAAGATTCTAAGATTAATGAACAGACTCTAGTCATGAATATTGATATCACTGATGGTATTATTAATTGTATTTGAAATATATTATTAATATAAATATAGCCAACTCTAGTAAAAAAACTGTAGCTTATGACTATGATTACACAATAGTAAATATATTCTTAGCGAGTAGAACAGAAAAATTACAGTCTTTTAAGTTCCACTTCACTGTTGAAAAATAACGCAGAAATTCATGCGGGGATGTTTTTTGTTGAAGAAATGAGCCAGTTTTACAATAATATTTCCTAAAATGAACTCGTCAAAGACGTCATTCAAATCTCAGCTGAACCTCAAGCTGTTGCCCAAATTGTCTTCGTGAAAATTACAAAACTCAAACAATCGTCACATCTGCCCCTAAAACCCTGAACGTTTTATTGAGGGCGTGGTTAAATAAACAGTTAACGAAGAAAAGATGACCTGTAGCGTGTGAGAATTGAAAAAAAAAAAGCCCGTTTAAGAAACCCTTGCTAAAACCGGTTTTTAGGTGGAAATGAATTATAGAATTTTCTTAAAGGGGTCTAACATACGGTCCTATCGAAGGTTTATGTCTGCTTAAAAACAACTAGGCCAAGTATATAACTAGTCAAGGACTGAAGGTTTATTTAAGGAAACTTCATGAATACGAAACTTATTTTCCATCTTCCTAAAATATGGATGTTTATAGTCAAACCAGTCTTCCTTCTTCGCGGGGTCCGAGAAAGGAAAGAGACAGTATTGTTTAGTGGACAGTCACTCTTGGTTGGTGCTGGTTAAGACAAAATTACTTTCTTGGCGTATTGCTCGTGCTCAGTATATATTTGAAATGAGGAGCTCTGGAGGCGTTTTGACTACAAGCGTCATCGGTCCCTGGCTCTAAGCTTGGCAAAGTGGTTTACTCGTGTGACACTAAGATCAATATCGCATTTTGGTTTGCGGTCAAACTTTCACTTAAATTCGCAAGGCAGTCTTAAATAGTCTTCTCTACTGAAAAATATGAGGGTCTATCTTTCTCAGTATCCTAATTGTTTCCCTGTCTGGCCGTCACCGTTTCTGTAGGTTGATCTTAACAACAGGATTAAAATAATGCTTGTCCAACAGAAATTTACAAGTTATATTTTCTTATGGGGTCCAATCTAGTTTTCAGTGCCTATTGCGGTCAAAAAGAGGTTCTTTTTTTTTCACAGATAAACATCAAAAAGAGACAGAAAGTGGCACTTAGCGGTCATCAAGCAACATCAAATTATATAATTTGGCTAATAAAAGCCAATCTATAATATGGGAACAAACTATGTACAAAGTGTTGCACTCGTCTTCTTCAGATACCATGAAGAGAACCAATATAAAACGCCAACACGCCAGGTGGTCAATCCTATATACTGAACTTTGTATTAGTTAAGAAGTATTTTTTTCCGGTGGTGTATCTGATATATATCGGCGCCAACAAACAAGTTGAGCACTTCAGGAGATGTTGAATGTTTTTTTATATCCTGCTTTGGCAACACCGATACTGCACAGGTCAAAGTTAAATCACGTATGTTTCATAACGTTCTGGGGTCGCAAAGTCGAAACTCTGTTCGACGACCAACAGGCATAAGTACATTTAAGGGGTCCGCGGGGGGTCTGGGGCCGGAGCAATGGGGCCAGGGAACATCGCTAAAATCCCTGTGAGGTAACGGCCCGGGGTGTACAAAACAAAAGGCAAACTCAATTAGGAACAGTCCAGATGAAAAAGGCAGGTAGCCTGCCGAGAGGGCGTTTTTTAAACGAAACTCTCGGAGGTATATTGTTGCACTGATGGCGGCCGCCATCTTGAAAGCAGTCAACCTTTCCCTCGAGGGACGGCAGCGTCAAAGTTAACAGGAGAGCATTATTGTCCCGACATAGCATCATCAGTTCGCACTGCTTTGCAGTGGGGGGTTAAGCAACATGCAACTGAAACGCTGTGAAAAGAAGAGTATACTACCTTTTGATTTTACTTATAACCCACACTCAGCCTAGTAGTGGCTTCTCCACTCAGCATTGCTTCAAGGTCATTCGTGAAAACATGAAGGGAGTGTCAGACAGATTAACTGGTAGAAAATAGACATGCCCCCTAAACACTAAGCCGGCTTGATTTTGGCCATGTAAGATAATACTATTTTTTAAAAAGTGTATGAAAAGTTCGGTTCAATGAAAAACGCACCGCGTGTCTGATGTGTTTTTAAATTTGAATTTTTATATCCCATCCGCATAGACTCGACTCAGTCCAAGAGTAGAATCTAGTCATTCCGCCCAAGTAGAGTTCAGTCTGAATACTCCTCCTCGAGAGCGCTGTTCAGTCCGAATCATTTATAATCCAGCTGTTGAAAGGCAGTTACATGTAACTTCAGATCATGGGGCATTACTGTAAATCTGACTGTGGTTTAGTGCCGGAGTTAAAGCATTAAGCAAGAACAGCCGTCTCCTGGTTAATCGGTTAAACTTTTTTTTGGATCTTTTTTATCTTTTTA